GCTTGCTTTCTTAATAAAAAGAAAAAGTGAATGTTTATGGTTTAACTCTTGGTGCCAGCATTGAATTTTTTTTCCCAGCGGCGCCCATCCGGTGGGCTCGGTTCCCACCTGCTCACCTTGGAAACCGAGTGTGGGTGCGGCCATCGCTCGGTCACCGGCCCACGCCTCCAGGTACTTCACGACTGAGACTTCTTGGGATGTCAGGAGGCGGAAGTTCTCACAGCTGGCTGGTCTCGGGGAGCACCAAGATCAGCCAGTCTTTTGACTCACGCGCGCCAGAACGGCAACGTGAAAACTGTACCCATGGCTAGTGGCTGCTTGTCGTACCATTTGTTGACCTTACTTCTTTAAGGAAGGGCTAAGACAAAAAGCAGGTTTTAAACCACTTCCTTAGAGTACCTAGGAAATGTAGTTCTGCTTTTCAGGAGCTTGGGCAACACTCCCAAGTAGCTTGACTGGATGAAATTTGTCTCTTCCTCCACTAGAACGAGAAGCACATCTCTGGTGGGGCGCAGGAGGTGACCTGCTTGGGGTCAGACTGGAGGTTATCGCTGCTCGGTTCCAAGGTTTTACCAAATGGCTGATCGTGCAGCAGCCAGATAATCTGGTTCATCGGTGACTGCAGTCGCTCAAATTCTGCTCGTGTGCTGTCTTAAAATGCAGTAGGCATATCTGGATAGTCGTCGACTGCTTTCTAGTGTGGGACCAGTTTGGGACTCTGGTGGTGGAGGGAGTGCTGGGGAGGCAGTCAGTGAGTGCGTGCTAACAAACATAGCTATGTCATGTGCAATGACCAGTTACTACTGTACAGTGATGCAGTTGCCAGGACAAAGAAGTATCTTGGGTATCTGCCAGGGCATGGAAGTCAGTTTAGTGCAGCTGACTGGGGCAAGTGCTGCTGTAATGCACTGCTGTGAGAAAATGTAGCACTACCTTCAAGGGAAATCTTCAGAAAAATACCCCTCAGCCCCCAAGTATTGTTAAAGGAGAGGAAAGATGGGACAGCAGATTCCAAGGAGAGACAGCAAAGTTAGTTTATTCTGCAATTTATCAGAGACAGGAGATGCAGAACACAGACATATGCAAATAACTCTAATGACATTCTCATCTAGTAATTCAGAGGTTAAACTACCTGATCCCACCACAGATCATTCCACAAGCCTGCTTTCTTCTTTAGAATACTCCGTGTCTCCTGCTTCACCAGAGTCTTCCCTCAGATTATTACTCTTGGTACTTCCAACTTCCCGTCTCTCTGGAACATGATCTAACGGCGGTTTAGCTGTTCCAGTCTGAACCATCTCAGTGACCTGTGTGTGGATCTGCAGATCAATCAAATGTGGTGGAGCAAGAAAAAAAAGCTGTTAGGCAGAGAGGGATTGACGTGCAGGACCATAGCTCGCTCCTTCTACAGCGGTGATCAGAAGTCCTGCATTACACTGAGCTGCCAGTGTCCTTCTCTGTTGAAGTCTTGCTTCTGTCAAGGGAGTAAGGGACCGAAGGTGCTGGTTCCTCAGTAAAGGCACCTTCCAAGATTCTTTGCACTGATTGCCATGCCTTTGTCCTGAAGTCCCGTCCCACAAAAACATAGAGCAGGGGGTTGATGCAGCTGTTGGCATAGGCAAGTGCTGTCGAGAGGTGATCCCAGAAGATCAGTGACTCCTTCACTTCTATTCCAAGAGTAGATACAAGGGACAGAATCCCAACTACGTGGTATGGAGCCCAGCAGATGAAGAACGCAGCTACCACGAGTACAATTGTTCGCAGCATCCTGTTGCGTGGCTTGTGAAACTGATTTGTGCACATCCTGAAAGCAATAAGGGCATAGCAAACTGCCATGATGCCAAAGGGCAGCACAAAGCCAAAGACAGCCCTAGTGACGTTTATCACCACCAAGGGAAGGGGGATGGAATAATAATCACCTTCATAGAAACTTCCCCACGAGTCATTACCATTGTAGGCTAAAGATGAGTTTTCTTCCAATAACTCATTTACAGAATCATTCATATAATCTAGCACCTCGTCATCCCCAAAATTGTACCCACACTCGGTTTTGCCATCATGAACACTAGTCTCACGGTAGTGGAAGACTGGACAGCAGAAAATGAAGGCCAGGATCCAAATGCCACTGTAGATTAGAGATACACATTTAACAGTTCGATGATTTTGGCACCAGACAGGTTTCATCACAAGGAGGCACCGGTCAATGCTGATGGCCACGAGTAGGAAGACGCTAGCAAACATGGTGAAGACTATGACTGATGGAATGACTTTGCAAAGGAACCAACCATACGGCCAGTGTTCATGGAGGGCCAGGTGAACAATGGAAAAGGGCAAGGACAAGCAGCACAGGAAGTCAGCCACAGCAAGGTTTAGGAACCAGATGATGTTCACAGACCTTTTCATTTTCAGACCAGCTACCCAGATCACCAGTCCATTGCCTGGGAGACCTATGACAAAAACGATGATGAAGATAGCAATGGAGACAATGGATTCTGATGCATAACCCACAGCGGCCTGTTCGTGTGAACTGCTGTTACTCAGGAGTCCAGGCATTCTGTAGCTATAAAACAGAAAGTAAATCAGTAGGCAATTCGCATCCTCGTCCCCAAATTCTTCTCTTTATCTGTACTCTTTTTCTATCTATTGAAGCATCTCTGACCCAGGTGACAGTACGGAGCTGTCAGGGTACAAATGCATTGTTCTCTGCAAGTTTGTGCTGAAGGCTTACTAATCTGACTGTTATACACCCTCATCATTCTCATGGTGGCTAAGCTACATACGCCCCACTATTCAATCAGAGGAGCTGGTAGACTGAAGTGCTCCTATCTCTGTCATCCACTTGGATTTCAGTCCGGTCCTTTTCAGTCTCCACCCTAAAGTGAAGCTCTCTATTCACATGCCCACACTATCACCAGGTGTCTCTCCTGATTGACTTCCAGCTTTGTGTACACTTCTCCTCTGCAGAACCGTAAGTCAGCGGTTTAGTTCCTTTTCCCTTTACGATGAGTGATTTCTGCTGGCATAACCAATGAAACAGGTTTAGGTTAAGAAAGCAGTGCTTGTCTCAATAACCCTACTCCACTTTCTGGACCTTATAAATAGAATAGACTGGACAGCAATTCTGTTTGCTAAGGGGTATTTTTAGAGAAGTCTCAGCAAGCACTTCTTTCTCCCTGCTTTTGTTCTGAGCTCTCTGATGGTCCCTTGAAAAGCTAGTCTTGATGAGGAGAAAGGCAAGGAAGGAAGGGTTTAATAAGGACAGAGATTTTGGTGTAGAAAGAAAAATTAAAACACATATGAATAGCAGTAATGTTCTTGAGCCATTTTAGATGTAAGAAAAAGTGTCTTGCTGCAAGACAATGAAGCTGAGCCACAGAATACTTCAGCGATGTTTTAAAACTATGAGAATAGTAGTGGCAAAACTTTAATTGCTCAATTATTCTTCAACTTAGATATTAGTAAATTTAGAAAGGAAAGGAAATCTAGAAAAGTCAAGATGGAACTGAAAAAAAAGGGCCTGGTCTTTTAGGCACAAATAGCATTGTTTATAAAATAAACCCTTGTTAACTAAACCCTTGCCGAATCCACGAAGACAGTTGTGTTGGTGAAAGGTGCCTAAAAGCAATACCAGAACGCAAGGAAACTGCATCAGCAGGAGCTGAATGCAGCCTGCAAGAGCAACGGACGAGACATGAATCAGGCAACCCAGACTGATTCCATTTCAACCTCTATTACGCCAGTACGTAAATGCCAGTCAGGGACTGTTGTGTGCAGGACTAAATACCAATATTATTAGAAAAAAAAAATTCCAAATCATCAGTCTCTTTCCTGCATAACAGATAGTCTAAACGTGGAGCGATGCATAAGTGTCAGAACCGCTTCACCACAAAGAAAATGACAGAAGTTGTAACAAACCTTGTAATTTACCGCTTTTTGGTAACAACTGCCAAGAAGCTTTTAGGAGAGGGTGACCTGCAAGGAAAGCTATTAAGTCACTGGCAGGCAGCTGGGGGCTCAACTTAGAGTTCTAACAAGTTTGTTCCATTTCCTGTGGTCTTGTAGATATAGGCAGAAGCGACTTTTACAGGGGCAACTGGAGAAGAGTGCTGCGAGAGCTGAATCTGGCTGCCCCCCCCCCCATAGCTACAGCAGATGCTGTGCAGGGAACAGGGAATCGAGGAATGCTGTAAAGACAGTAGGACAAATCCTACTCCGAAGCAAACTGAGGGATGAATCAGTAAGATACTGCCCATGCTGTGTTTTCAAGAGTGCTAAAAGGGCTGCTATGTGGCTACGAAAAGGGAAGGGGGAACTGCAGGGGAGAGAGAGGTTTTCAGGAGAGAAGAATAAGAAATTGCAAGTTGAAGAGGAAATTCTGCAGCTTATTACACCTACCTGAGTGAAGCAGGTTATTTCAGGGTCAGGGAGCAAGCACCGTCAGTCCTGTCTCTGAAGTGACTGAAAAAAGAAACTCACATGACATTTTAGGAACCGTTTTTTTCCTCTATTGCATGTATGTGCTAAGTATGCTCTTTCACCCGGACGGAAAGGATTAGAATGACTCATATTTGAAGTTTTAGATACGATCTGCAGATAAAACAAATAAACAGTCAAACCAAAGCTGTCACACCACCGTCAGAACCAAACAGTGCCCTGAGTCAAAGAATAATAGAAAGCAAGGGAATGATGGGCACAGACATGTACTTGACTGTAGTTTCCGTAAGACAGCTGAATCAGACATCTTGCCTATTGACAGAACGCTGACCTTTGCTTGATGTAAGTCATTATTCCAAACCCTGCCATGCCACCATCAGGTGTCTGATCTGTCGTCTTGTAGCCACTTCCATGTTTTATCAGATCAGCACATTCACCTTGCTTATCCCATTTCTGGGATCCTTACCAGTCCAGATCAGCTTCTGTCCCAGGTTGAGACAGCTTAGTCCACCAAATACAGAACCTTGTACTCAGCAAACCATAACTGGTCATGTTAAAGGGGTTTTAATCTGATATTGAACCTTTCAGGGTGTTTGAAGTTTTGCTGTTTGGGTTTGGTTTTTTTTTTTTAAAGAAGGAACTTCACTGATGTAATATTAGAAGTGGTTAACTGAAATGCTGATAGCACAAAATGTGGCAAGACTTTAAAAAGAAAAGACATCTAGGGCAAGGCATTTCAAATGTGCAGAAACAGAGTTCCCCCTAACCCCTCCCAATCTGGGAAATCAAGACTGTTAGCAGAAATGACAAAGCCCAGACACAGAAGAATCACCCTCAGTATTTTGGGTTTGGTCTGGAAAATGAACCAGGATGGAGCAGAGTTCTGCTTCTGAGCACGTCTCTGCAAAACACACAAATGCTGCCTCCAACACGAACCCCAGCAAATCAGAAACCAGGCAGGGCAGGGCAGGCTGAACCCCCAAAGATGGACGGGCTGGGCTGATCCCCCAAAGACAGACGGGCTGTCAAGAGCCTGCCAGGAAAATTCCTCCAGCTGCCTCTTGTTCTCAGCTGCCATCTTTCCTGGCATGCTCCTCAGACTCAGATATAAAGTGTTGATAGGAGGCTCCTGTGGCCAAGGGACGCGCAGCCTTTTTGTCACTGTATGACTCGCTAGCTCTGCTCACACTCTCCTTTGCAAGACGGTCCTTCTCCACCAGTTGGTCAGCTCTGGTCCTCCCAGTTAAAACCTCTCCCCTGCAGCCGACCTTGACACAGCAAGCACTTTATCTTTAGTCCAGCCAGACCACCCTGGGCTGGGATTTGATGATGGGGTGCCTCTCTGTACAGGTTTCCAGATTAATGAACATTTTAAGCAGTTTGACTAGTGAAGCAGTTTGCACCTCAGCGTAAGGGCCTCACGATGTAGACACTCAAAGAAGATGGTATAAGGAGGAAAAAAGACATTTTGTTACTTTCTTCAAATGGTCACTTAGATCAGACCAGGCCTTTGACTTGCAGCTTTGATGGTAATCCTAAACCACCACATTGCATTCTTTTCTTCTCTTCTGGACCTCTCCCCTCCCCTCCTGATAAGCAGACTGAGTTAGCTTAGAAAGGCTCTAATTCGCACAATCACAGAACAGTTGAAGTTTGGAGACTGTCTGGAGACTGTCTAGCCCAACCACCCTGCTCAAGGCAGGGTTAGCAAGAGAAGATTGCCCGGGACTCTGTCCAGTCAGGGTTGAGCATCTCTATAGAAGGAGACTCCAAAAACTCTCCTTTTTTTACCCTCACAGTAAAAACCTGTTTTACTGTGTTCAGATGGAACTTCCCGTGTTCCAGTGTGTGCCCATTGCCTCTTGTCCTGTCATCAGGCGTCACCGAGAAGAGTCTGGCTCCATTGCCATCAAACATTCCACCAGACAGATGGTGAGATGGCTTCACTTACTAGCCCTATGAAATCAGCAACACAGACTCCCTTTCTGCGCTTTGAAGTTTTTCTGCACCGGGCACTGTCAGAGATCACACCAGCTGTTTCCCACAGCATTCTCCTGGAGATACCAGCTGCTCATGGTTTGGATGGGTGTACACTTCACTGGGTAAAAAAATGGCTGGATGGCCAAGCCCAGAGAGTAGTAGTGAATGGAGTTAAACCCAGTTGGTGGCCGGTCATGAGTGGTGTCCCCCAGGGCTCAGTTTTGGGTCCGGTCTTGCTTAACATTTTTATCAATGATCTGGATGAAAGGATTGAGTGCTGACTCAATAAGTTTGCAGATGACACCAAGTTGGGCGGGAGTGTCGATCAGCTTGAGGGTAGGAAGGCTCTGCAGAGGGATCATGAGCCACCAGTGGCCCAATTGGCCAAGCAGGCCAACGTCATCCTGGCTTGTATCAGGAATGGTGTGGCCAGTGGGAGTAGGGAGGTGATCTTGCCCCTGTACTCGGCACTGGTGAGGCCACACCTGGAGTACTGTGTTCAGTTTTGGGCACCTCACTACAAGAAGGACACTGAGATGCTGGAGCATGTCCAGAGAAGGGCAACGAGGCTGGTGAGGGGTCTAGAGAAAAAGTCTCATGAGGAATGGCTGAGGGAACTGGGATTGTTTAGTCTCGAGGAGGCTGAGGGGGGTCCTTATTGCTTTCTACAGCTACCTGAAAGGAGGTTGTAGTGAGGCAGGTGTTGGTCTCTTCTCATATGCAACCAGTGATAGGAGAGGCAATGGCCTCAAGTTGCTTCAGGGGAGGTTTAGATTGGATATTAGGAAAAATTTCTTTACTGAAGGAGTGGTCAGGCATTGGAACAGGCTGCCCAGGGAAGTGGGTGGAGTCACCGTATCTGGAGGTGTTCAAAAAAAGGTGTATATATGGCACTTCAGGACATGGTTTAGCAGGCATGGTGGTGTTGGATTGACGGTTGGGCTTGATGATCTTAGAGGTCTTTTCCAACCTTAGTGATTCTATGATTCACTACCATCCTGTTCCACTTATCTCTGGAAACAGCAAGAAACTTAACTCCAGATCCCATTTCATCTCTCCCTGTGTTAACTAACATCCTGGCATCCTGGAAAAAAAAAATTCCTCAAACTTAGGGCTGTTTCATTCACTTTTTGTTTTAC